GTAGAAAGTCAAATTTCTACCCAGAAGCAATTTTCATGTGGCATAAACTCCTATTACTAGGAGGGCTAGTTCAGGAAGTAGCCAATTTAGGAATAAAGAAGTTGTAGGAATGCTGCCTTTTCAATGTACTCAGGCACAGCAACCTGCGTGTGTGTGTGTGTGTGTGTGTGTGTGTGTGTGTGTGTGTGTTACAAAGCTCTGCTCCCAGTGGACATTCAAGATAATGAAGATTAAGACAAGCTCAGAAATACTCGGGATTGGAGCTCCAAAAAGATGTTTTTATTTCATGTCATCTTTACCCATCTCTTCAATTCTAGTTACGTTTTCCATCTATCATTATAATTTAGGAGAGGGCCCAGAAGTCCATCCCTAACTTTCATTCATTCAACTAATACTGCTAAAATTCCTTTTACTTTCCAACATTATGCCAAGCACTGCAGATACAAATGTGAATTAGACCTGATCCTCAACTTCAAGGAAGTTAATGGTTTAGTGTTGTTTCAAGAAAAAAGAAATTCAAAGAATTCTGGTGACTTAAAGCATTTTCTGGAATAAAAAAGTAATAAGACACTGGTTCTACTTTTGTAGATAAGTACCATCTTCTCATTTTGCCTTATTGAAACCATGACTCCAAGTCTAAATACACCTGTGTATGCATAACCTTAGATGTTTACACTGTTAAATTTTAAACTGGTCCTTAAGTAGAGGGCTTTTGCAATTCATTTTTCTTGGGTTTGTTTCTGAGGTATTTCTTAATAGGAAAGCACTTATCAGATGATTTAAGCAACCCCCCCGCCCCCGCCCCCCGCCCCCGATTTTGAGAGTCTTATTATATCTGATAATAAGTACAGGGTACAGCCCAAGCTGGTTCTGCTCAGTGGATAGAGCATTGGCCCCACAGACTAAAGGGTTATGGGTTCAATTCCAGTCAGGGGCACTTTCTTTGCAGGCTTGTTATACAAGAGGCAATCAATCAAGGTGTCTCTCTCACATCTTTGTTTCTCTCTCTCTCTTCTCTCCCCCTCCCTTCCACTCTCTCAACAACAACAACAAAAAAATCATTGGGAAAATATCTTCAGGTGAGGATTAATAAATACAGGGTACAGTGTCCCAGACTTTTTTATTCTCTCTAGTTTTGATGGCTTTTTTTGGCCTTGTTTGAAGAGGTGTATTTAAATATTATGTAGAATTCATATTTAACAAACAACTTTGCAAAGCTGAGTGGTGACATTTTCTATTTTGTTGATTCATTTGACTATCTAAAGAGTATTTTTACAATTTAATATCTGGGTTCTTCACTTCAAATACTTGGTGTTTGAAACTGAGATACTCAAAGTAAGACAAAAGTTCACAATGGTTTACCACAACAGTTATTTAATATTTATCCTTTTACTTTTATTTTCTAATTATGAAGTCAAAGTTTTGACCATAATAATTCTAACCTGTAATCTGGATACTTGATGAACACTGAGTAGATTAACATAGAGCCATATGTAGCCCATGAACTTGAAATCAAGTTATCTTATGTATAATAAATATTTCAATTTCATTCATTCTTTCATTAAACATTTACTGAGAGCCTTTTCAGAGGCAGGCACAGTTCTAGATGTTGTGAATACATCAGTGAATCACACAAATAAAATGTATTGCCCCTAGGGAGCTTACATTCATTTAATCAAACATTCCAAATAACCAATTTTGAGCATGGACTCCACTTTTATGGAGGAAGGGAGACAAAAGACAAGAATCCCAAATCTTTTGAAAGTTGCAGCATAGAGAGCCCAAGGGCCACTGGATTGTCAATCGAGAGGCAGTGTAGTGGAGCTTGTTATTTTCTGGGTCTTAGTTTTCTTATCTGTTAAATAATGGCATTGAATTTCATAATCTCAAAAGTCTCTTCTGAATTGAATAGTCTATGTGTCTATGGTAGGCATTGGCTTATTAATTAATTAAGGCAAATTTACATAGAGTGGAACGCACAGGTCACAGAGATTTAATTTTTAAAACTATAGAAATGTTCAGGAGTCATCTTAAACTCCTATACCTTTTGTAGCAACAATACAGTATAGAATTATATATTATGTCCAGATTAATGATCCCAAGGCATTGCAGAATGCTGACTCAGTGAGAGAAGACCTAATTATGTTCATTAGACTACTTATTAAAGCAAGAAAATGCACTGAGGTGACTTAGATTTCAAACACAAAGTGTCTCCTCATTAACCCACAGTTAATAAGAAACCCAATTAACCAGTGTGCTCTGCTCCAAGATTTTACTGTTTTTAGGCTTATGTATTCTTCTTTACAACCATGACCAAGTCACGGATCCACATCCCAGCCATTTCACGTTTGTACTACTAAAATCCATGGATTATCTCTCCCTCAAACAATATAAAATGCTTCCATCAAAACCCTCACTTCAGACCATCCCCCATTATAAAACTAAGTAAGAAATAGATACAGTAAAGTGATACAATTCTAAGTTTTGCTTTAAAATACTCCAGATATATTTTATTGAGTATATGTGCAATTAAAAGCAGCTGAAAAAAAAAAGAAATTAAAACATCCATTTCCAAATAAGCTCTCATTTGAGAAAGTCTTAATCCTTTCTAGATTATAACTATCCATAAGCATTAAAATATACTAAATAAGGGTCTTTGGAAAATGCACCCCACTTTGGAGATTGAGTGTCCGGAATGCTAGGCGATGCTCTTTTATTCAAGGTACCTAAGGAGCTAAAGCAGAATTCTTTGAAATCTTAGTGGACACTTAAACTGGCTCAACTCTACAGAATAATAAAGCAAGATTTAAAACTTTAAATGATAGGTATTCAATTTTTGATTCTAGCATTCAGGAAGGATTTTAAGCTTGGCCTATTGTATTAAATCTGCAGACTCATTCATCAACCTGAACTCATTGCAAAATTACAAATTTCTTTCACAGGATAGCCCTTGTAGCATTTATTTTTGTCTTCAATCAGCAAGAAAATTTTAGTTCTTCCTACACTTACTATGAATATCTCCTCAGAAGTTATTTTGAAAAAACTTGAATTGTATTTCCTCTATTCACAATGCCTTTGATTAGACTTTCTCTTCCATTTCCCCTTTTGCAACTACTTCCTTTCATTGGTCAGTTAAGTCAGTCTTTCAGAAACATTTTTTAAATCCCTTTCTGGTTTTCTCTCTCCTGGTTCTCCTTTTAAAACACCTTTCCTCGTTATTCAACCTGTCAACCTAACCATTTGTACTGAGCAACTAGTGCATGTCCAACCACGTCGGAGGTAAGTCTACAAGGGATGTAAGAGATCCAGGCATGGAGCCTGCAGTCAATGGGCTTACTGCCTAGTAGGAGAGACAGCAAACACATTTGAGCAAACAAAACCATGACATTAAACCATGTGATCTTGGCAACTGGCAAAACCCTATTTCAGGGGAAAACCAAGTAGCTTGCAGAGAAACAAAGCCGTACCATCATCTACCAGGAAACTGTATGCAAATCTGCAGAGTTGTCCATCTCTCTAGGTGGTCCCTAGAAGGCCTACTTTGAGGCCTACATCCAACGACTGGAAAACAAGAAGAGAATGCAACCAAGTAGACTAATGGGTTTATGTAAATTTTAACATATTCTCTTTCTAACTGTACTAATTTAGCTGGATCCCTAAGCATAATTAGACCATTGAAAAAGTGTCCAGGTACAAATAACAAAAAGTGTGTGTGTGTGTGTGTGTGTGTGTGTGTGTGTGTGTGTAAGAGAGAGACAGTGACACTTAGCAGGTGGGACTCAATCAAAAGATGCACAGTTATACTTGGCAGGGGAGATACCATGATCAGGAAGATGGTTTTTCCAGGGCAAAGCTCACACATTTCCCTCCAGGTATGCTGACCCCTGCAATTTCCCCAAATGTGGGAAAATCAACTGCATAATTTGAGGTGGCGGTGGTGGTGGGGACTGTATTCATGCTCTCCCCTAATTAAAAAAAGTTTGCATAATCAGAGCAACGCTATAGTGACCCAACCTGCTCCACCAACATAAACCTATGTGTCATTGGGTAGAAATATCACCAGACAAGAGGCCGGATCTATTAATTAATTAATGCCTGACTCATGTGTATCATATGAAAAAAATAAAACTTCTCAAGACACAACTGAAGCAGATACTACCCCACATAAACATGTCCTTATAAAATCACACATTGACTTGGGGCACCACCTATATATTCTTACCCTGATCAAGACTGTCTCAGAGACTGACTTTTAACTTCAGCAGAAGGCTTGTGCCTGCTATGCACTTGGCCTCTTTCCCCGTTTATTCTAGTTTCACAACGTGTTGGTTTTTGATTTCTGATCTGGCAAGGATGTTCAACCCCATGCCTTCTCCCAGGAGGTGTTTCCTGAGATCATACAGGTAGGGAAGGGAAAAAAAAAAAAAAAAAAAGTCCTCGTTTTAAAAATGCAGGGAAATGGTGTCCTCTTCAGGACAAGGTGGAAACTGCAGCGCCTGTGAGGTATTAGGACAGTGTTATATTGTTTCTCTCCACAAGGTGGCGCTGCTGTTCTAAGTGTCGTTTACAGCCAGTTTAGCATGAAAAAGACAACGTGACAGCAAGGAGAGATAGACAGGGTAGGGGCACCAAAGAATTAGGAGGAAGGAGAGGTTAAACAAGAAAGCAGGCTCTTTTGGCCAGATAGGGCTTCCCTACCAACCCAAATCAGACCCATTGCAATTAGGTTATCCCTTCGCCCAAGCGTTCATTTGGGATCATTTAATTCAATAGTTCCCAAACCTGGTTGACCCACAAAATCACCAAGGAAACTGTTTTAAAGATACAGATTCATAGAGTCTACCCTAAGAGACTGATTCAAAAATTTGAAAGGGGCCCAGTCATCTGTCTTTTTAAAAAGGTCTCCCATGCCTGGCCGGTGCTCAGTGGTTGAGCGTCAACTTATAAACCAGGAGGTCACCCTTGGATTCCCGGGTGGGGCACATGAGCAGATGCATGGTTGCAGGCTCAGTCCCCAGTAGGGGGAGTGCAGTGGACAGCCAATCAATGATTCTCTGTTATCATTGGTGTTTCTATCTCTACCTTCCTCTCTCTGAAATCAGTTTAAAAAAAAACACAACACTTTTTTTTTTTTTTAAAGTTCTCCCAAAGATCACTGGTGTCTCTTTTATAGATGATGGGAAGGGGAAAATGTTCTAAAGGGACTGAGTCCTTACAGGATTCAGCAAACTCAGCTTCCATTTCTCAATTCAATCACAACAAATGTAGTGAGAATCTATTCTTTACAGGGAGTTCTCTAGGAAATAAAAGCACAATTTATTGAATAAGCCCATCTATACTCTAAGGAACTTACTAATTACACCTGTGTTCAGTGTTTTCTCCCATCCATTTGGGCAAAGAATTTATGACCCAACAGATTCATAATTCCTGAGTCCAGACCTCACTGTCTCCTTTCTATGTACTTATCGACCCAGTTAGGGAATAGGGGTGACCTGACAATTTTTTGGAACTGAATTTGAATCTTACTCAACAACTCATCAACTATGGGACATTAAAAAAGTATCTAACCCTTTCTGAACCTTTATTTATAATAGGAGATAGCCACACCTGCCTCTGAAGGTTGTTACAGGACTCAAATTAGACAATTTAAAGTCCTTTACACCCTGCCTGGCACATGGTGTTCAAAAAATGTTATTAGTAGTATTAATATTAACCTGATACCTTGACTTCTAGAACTTCTCTCCAAGACCGATGTAATCCAATGACTCACTGTACATGTAGGTCCTTCTGTGTCCTAATGCCATGCTGCTTGGCCTTGCCACCAATAACCTGTAATGAAAATAAAGTTAGGAGCCCTAACCGGTTTGGCTCAGTGGATAGAGCGTCGGCCTGTGGACTGAAGGGTCCCAGGTTCGATTCCAGTCAAGGGCATGTACCTTGGCTGCTGGCACATCCCCAGTAGGGAGTGTGCAGGAGGCAGCTGATTGATGTTTCTCTCTCATCAATGTTTCTAACTCTCTATCCCTCTCCATTCCTCTCTGTAAAAAAATCAATAAAATATATATTTTTAAAAAAGATAGGACACTTGTATAAAAAAAAAAAGAAAAGAAAGTAAGGAAAGTGTCCTTCCCTCCTCAGAATTATAGCAGGTAGATAAAATAAATATACTTATCA